AGTGGCATCTGACACACCACGTGACCTCTGACCACGTGTGGCTCTGGTGATGGTTTGGCTGTTAGAAAGTGAGAGTCTGGTCCTGAGATTTCTCCCTTTGTTGCGTGTTGGTAACAATGGGTTGACCTGCCCTTTCACTGCTGGGCACTCCCAAGATGCCCGCAGATGCATGCAGCAACAGCTGGGGCCCACAGGAGACTGTAATCTGGTGTAGTTAATTATTAGCTCTTTCAAGTGGAGATGTTAGGATGCTGATTTTTCTGCTGTTTCTGGCTGCCCTTGCCTTGTGGGTAGTGGTCAGGTTTTTACTTCCTGAAGATAAAGCTTGCTGTGCTTCTAGGTCATGAGAATTGGGGACCTCTTCTGTGGCTAGTAATTTTGAGACTGAACTTGGCCACTGTCACTGGCCGGCCAGTTTGTTTGAGTGTTCTAACTACCAGCAAGGAAACCTTTTTAAAATTGGGTGCTCAGGGGCGCCTGGGTGGCTCAGTCGTTCAGCGTCTGCCTTCGGCTCAGGTCACGATCCCGGGGTCCTGGGATCGAGCCCCACATCGGGCTCCCTGCTCCGCAGGAAGCTTGCTTCTCCCTCTCCCACTCCCCCTGCTTGTGTTCCCTCTCTCGCTCTGTCTCTCTCTGTCAAATAAATAAAATCTTTAAAAAAAATAAAATTGCGTGCTCACTTCCATGTTGTGTAACTGATTGCATTTCAAACAAATACTTTAATAGTTTGCGTTGAACATATTCAAACAGAATTGCAAAACCTATATTGTGCACAATCATGTTCTCATGGGTACGTCGTCCTGTTACTGTAGAGGCTCATGGCAGGCTGCCCCAGGACGGGCCACTTTTGCCTAGAGATTATGTCGGAGTTAAAAGTAATCAAAACCCAGCAGATGCGGGAAAAGGCCCTCTGCCTCCCCCTCAACTGCTTTAATTTACATTGGAAAGGAGAGCCTGTGCCAGGAAGAGCTCTATTGACAGAGACTCCCCTTTACCTAAGGAAACGCAGAGCAACCTTGTGTTTCCAAACCTCTCCTCTCTGCTTCTTGCTAATGGTCTTCCTCCCCTTCCTGTCCTCAGACCCCCCCCCCCCCGCAGCTCCTAGAAGCTTCCTGTTGCCTGCCTGCCTGTGAATTTCCTGTCCATGCCTGTTACATTCAGTTTTCTCCTGTCGATGTGGCTGTGGCTGAGTCCCCTTGGAAGGGTCACAGGACAGAGGAGGAGGTCTTCCTCCCAAGTAACATTCTCTTTCTTCTGTGTCTGTCACAGCTAATTACCAGAAAATAGTCACCAAATAGTTTTCTCTCCTTAATTTGTAATTTAAAAAAATCCTGGGAATCTATTTGAGAAAAGTACATATTTTGATGTTCTTAAATGGTAAGTCTTGTTCAAATCCGTTCTGAGTTCTTAACCTTCCAACCTCTAGAACTGTTATTGCTGTATTTGAGGTTCTACATCCTTTTCTAAATTTCTCCCTTCACCAGGTGATCAGATTGATACATGATATTTCAACTAAATATATCCTGCATGAGACCTTTGACCCAAGGGCTTTTTGAAAATGAGTTTTGTTTCTAGTCGTTCGTTTCTGGTTTTGTGATACTGTTTTCCTCTTTTTTTTTTTTTTTTTTTTTAAGATTTTATTTATTCTTTGACAGTGATAGAGGGAACACAAGCAGGGGGAGTGGGAGAGGGAGAAGCAGGCTTCTCGCAGAGCAGAGAGTCCGATGTGGGGCTTGATCCCAGGACCCCAGGATCATGACTTAGCCGAAGGCAGACCCTTAAGGACTGAGCCACTCAGGCACCCGTTTTCCTTTTTTATTCCATTGTTTTTGTAAGCATTACAAAGCTTAGCTGTTTTAAGTTTTGCTTGGCCAAATGGGCACATGTTTGATAAGAACATGGATTTTCCCTTCCTTTCCCTTCCCTTCCCCCCCTCCCTCCCTCCCTCCCTCCCTCCTTCCTTAAGGATTTTATTTATTTTTTAATTTTTTTTATTTGACAGACACAGCAAGAGAGGGAACACAAGCAGGGGGAGTGGGAGAGGGAGAAGCAGGCTTCCTGCCGATCAGGGAGCCCGATGCGGGGCTCGGTCCCAGGACCCTGGGACCATGACCTGAGCCGAAGGCAGACGCTTCACGACGGAGCCACCCAGGCGCCCCCAATGCTTTTTTAATATGTCCCCTTTCAAGTTCTTTGTTCAGATTCTTGGAGGTGTTCTCACTCCTCCTGATGCTTTCCTCATATCTAGAGTTTGTCAGCTCCTCTCGAGCAGGGGTTGTGTTTTCTTCTGGAATCTATGTGACTTAGCTTGTAGAGACACTTAGTGCTCAGGTGTACCTGTATTGGCCTCACCATCCCGGGGTTGTATTTGGTAGTTCTGCAGAGCGTGGAGCATCGCAGGAAAATGGAGGTAATAAGATTTCCTTCTGTACCTCTGACCGAGCCCTCAGGCTTCAAGTGCTCAGGGGGCCTCTTTCTCTGCAGCGGGTTGGAGAGAAACCTCTCTCCTCCCCCTTTCTTGTAATTACAGCCCTTTGGGAGCCACAGTACCAGGGTGGGTGGGTGGGGGTGTTTGTGTGTGTGTGTGTGTGTGTGTGTGTGTGTGTGTGTGTGTCTCTCTCTCTCTCTCTCCAGTGCAGCTACTCTTTCCTGTGCTTCAAAAGCAAGTCCTGTCCTGAGAACACAGCCCCCCCCCCCCGAAATCTCAGGATTGCCACTTTTGGTGTAAACTCCTGGTTGTGTCTGCAACTTGAGCCTCTTTCTGGCAGCTCAGCTTCTTCAGATGTATTTGTTGGACTTTAACATCTCTAGGTATTTCAAGGTGGAGGTGGGGAATCTATTTTTAGATCATCTGTAGTATTTTTTTTTTTTTTTTTTTTTAAGGATTTTACTTATTTGACAGAGAGCAAGAGCAGGAACACAAGCAGTGGGAGTGGGAGAGGGAGAAGCAGGCTCCTGCTGAGCAGGGAGCCCGATGCGGGGCTCGATCCCAGGACCCTGAGATCATGACCTGAGCCAAAGGCAGACGCCTAACAACTGAGCCACCCAGGCGCCCCCAATCCTGTGATTTTTTTTTTTTTTTATAAAGATTCTATTCATTTTACAGGGAGATACACAGCGAGAGAGGGAACACAAGCAGGGGGAGTGGGAGAGGGAGAAGCAGGCTCCCCACTGAGCAGGGAGCCCGATGTGGGGCTCAATCCCAGGACCCCGGGACCATGACCCGAGCCGAAAGCAGACACCCAACGACTGAGCCACCCAGGCGCCCCAATCCTGTGATATTTTTGAATTATTCCTTGTGTCGAGCTCCTGGACTAGTAACGAGTAGATTTCATCTGCTTCCTCTGACCCTTTATTAATTACTTGTTAGATTATTTGAGAGAGCGAGCATGAGCAGGAAGTAGATGCAGGACTCAGTCCTTTGACCCTGAAATCATGACCTGAGCCCCCTGAGATGGTGACCTGAGCTGAAACCGAAAGTTCACTGCCCAACTGACTGAGTCACCCAGGCACCCCCTTTTGACCCTTTTAAATACAGAGTTTCTCTCTAAATGCTTGGCTGGTATATGTCAGTTTTGAGTCATGATGTAATGCTAGATTTTCTTTTTTATTTTTATTTTTATTTTTTTATTTTTTTTATTATTTTTTTAAAGATTTTATTTATTTATTTGAGAGAGAGAGAAGGAGAGATAGAGAGCACGAGAGGGAAGAGGGTCAGAGGGAGAAGCAGACTCCCTGCCGAGCAGGGAGCCCGATGCGGGACTCGATCCCGGGACTCCAGGATCATGACCTGAGCCGAAGGCAGTTGCTTAACCAACTGAGCCACCCAGGCGCCCTAGATTTTCTTTTTTAAACTGTGGGTTGGTCCCCCAACGTTGGCAACAACTGTGTATGCATCTTGTTTTGAGCAGTGGAAAAATTGCTAGTTGTGGCATTATTTAACCTAGACATCGTTTAGCCTCGGCACGGTGGCCTTAGGAAGACTATGATTGCACGTACTCAGAGTCAGAGTGTCTCTGAGGTTTGATAGTTGAGTTTCTGGGGCCGCCATGGAAAGCCCAGCTTCAGCTGTGGGCAGAGCAGTCTGACCGAAGGCCCTGTTCTCCTGGTGAAGTTCATGTGTGCTGTCAGAGGATAGGCATGTTCTTCATAAGTTTTGGTCACTCGTTGAATGAAGTGTTTTACCCAAAGTTAAAGAGGTTAATTCATTAGATTTCACTTAAAGGGGCAGCATACATGTACCTGGTTTGTGGGACCCAAGGCCCTTCCTGTTAGGGGTGGCAGAAGCAGAACGGATTCTCATTGACCTGCCCCGTGCATTGACATGGGTAAGTGTGAGGCAAATCTTGCTGCTAGTTTTCCATTGAAGGCGTGATCTGTAGGGACATTCTTTCATTAATATTGACAGCAGGGCATAATATGTTTGTTTGTGGATGGATGGGGGTGTGAAGCCAGAGGGTAAAGGTAGTCTGATAGCTGTGTTGTCAAAGACATTTCCTTTTTCTTTCCCAGGGACTTTGGGGAAAGGGGGGGGGGCGCATCAGCTCGTCCCCAGTCTTTGTGTGGTTCCCATGTTACAGGGACAGTGTGTTCATCCTGGTGGCTGTGCGGTCTTGCCCAATGCCTGGCACAGGAATGCACTGAATGAAGGAGGTAACCAAAGCTCCCTGAGCACGGCCCGTGTCAGGAAAACAAGATACTCAAAAAAGGGCCCGTCAGCTGGTGGTCAAGTGGGCCCTGAGTGTCTGCCTCAGAGTCACCTGTTAGTTTTATTTAGTTAAGGCAGCTATTATTAGGCTATTTCAGAGCTTTTTATTCTATATCGAGAAGGGTCTTAGGGCATAAGTCTTGGAATCTGTTCGACAAGGGTCCAGCCTGACAGGCCAGTGGTTGGTGCTCAGGTGAGGTGACGTACCCCTCCCTCTCCTGCTGTGTTCTTTCCCCCATGATGAACCTAACCTTGGCAGTCCTGTCATTGACCATGGGTTTTCTAATTGCAGGACTCACTCCAACAGCCTGTTAAAACATGGTGGATTACTATGAAGTTCTAGGCGTGCAGAGACATGCCTCAGCCGAGGATATTAAAAAGGCGTAAGTAGTTGTGTTTATGAAGTAATAAATCTGTGCTGTCATGCACTGGTCCTTGGGTATTGTCACTTTTTATCTATTGAAATGGGCCATGTAATATAACACTCTTTGAATACTGCTATTTAATTTTACCTTCAGACAGAGTAGTTAACAAATTAACTCTTGCCTTCTCAGACCTAGGCCCAGCCTGTCACTTGTCACTGAGGAATAAGAAGGTCACTTGGTTTCCTCTGTTACTTTGCCTTGGGACAGTGGATTCTGCTGGCTGCTTAGGAGGTAGATCAAACACTGAGGATGTGAAATAATCGCAGAGAACTGACATTGGAATTTGGAATGGAATTGACTTGGCACTCAGCACTCTTAGAGTGTGGTGCTATAACCTCCTTGGTGTTAGTTGCTTTAAAAAATCCTTGTCATGTGACCCCAGCTTGTACTGCTAGAACCCATCTGGTCCCTGGTTCAGTTTGTTGGTCTTACCCATGCCTTTGTGACCAGGCCTGGCCTCTGTGCGGGGCAAAGCTCAGGGCACAGGTGGCACTCAAGGTGAACTGGATCTGTCTGGTTCATTTGGCCTTAATGTGTCAAGCAGACTGTGCTGAGTGCAGAGCCGGGCATAGGGCTTGATCTCTGAGCCACAGTCAAGAGTGGTCAGTGTCTGCAGGGTGGCTTTGAAGTATGAACTTAGAAAATGCTGTTACCTGTAAATGGAATACGAATTTCTCATTAAGTGTGCAGTCAAATTCTGTTTTAGGCTGGATTTAGCCTTATTTTTGTTTATTTTATTTAAAAGATTTTACTTATTTGTAAGAGAGAGCACAAGCAGGGGGGAGCGGCACGCAGAGGGAGAAGCAGCCTCCCTCCTGAGCTGAACCCCGATGCAGGACTCGATCCCAGGACCTTGAGATCATGACATGAGACGAGGGCAGATGCTTAACAGATTGAACCACCCAGGTGCCCTAGCCTTTTTTTTTTAATGAGCAAAACTGCACCCATGGGTGGTGTGTGTTCTTAGTCCATTTTGTGGACTCTAGACTTTGTTCATGTGCCGTGATCAGAAAAAACCTTAGTTGGAGGAGTAAATTTGTGTGGCTGCTCTCCCTTCCCATTTCTCTTGAGAAACCTAGAGTTGTACCTTTGTTTAAATTTCGTGCTGTGTGCTTTCCCTCTCTCAGATGATACAGCCTGCCTGCCTCAGTGCTCAAGTACTGGTGTGAAGTCAGGCTTCAGTCTCAAGGCCGACAGTGAAAGACATGCCTTACACTTGACGTGTTAAGCCTTGAGTTAAAAAAAATCAAGTAGTCTTTTACAAAACCTATACAAATAAAACGTACCTAGATTCTCCTACGTTACTTTGTTTTCACACCAGCACGCTAGTGCAAATGGACCGTTCTTTGTCCTTGGTCTTTTCCATGGTCTTTCAGTTTTTACCACGAGGATTTTGTAGCCCTTGAGGGTTTTTGGTCTGCTTATTGCTTGTTTAGGTCCACAGTGATAGAAAAATATTTTTAGTGTTGTAGAGTCCAGTGTTAATCAGACTTTAAGAAGTTCAAGGTTTTTTGATGAAAATGCTACCATTTAATTGAACCACAGCAGCCTTACGTCAACAACTTGTCAAGGGTTAGGAGCACCGCCTGGTTCGTCTAATCTTGATTTGAGGGGCATGCCCCTTCCCTGTTAGCCCTGTCCCCACCCCACAGGCGGTGCTTATGTTAGCTAAGTAGAAGGGAGGATTTTGTGTGTGTGTGTGTGTTTAAAAAGCATGTGGAAAAAAATATAAAACCTCTAATTGTTACTGTTTTTTTTATTTTTTTATTTTTAAAGATTTTATTTATTTATTTGAGAGAGAGAATGAGAGAGAAAGCACATGAGAGGGAAGAGGGTCAGAGGGAGAAGCAGACTCCCTGCCGAGCAGGGAGCCCGATGCGGGACTCGATCCCGGGACTCCAGGATCATGACCTGAGCCGAAGGCAGTCGCTTAACCAACTGAGCCACCCAGGCGCCCTCTAATTGTTACTGTTAACTGGAGTCTTCAGTGAGCCTTGACTGCAGAACGGGGCGCTCTGAACGGTGCTGGCGGGCTGGGGAGCAGCTTGGTGGGGCCGGATCCCCTTGCCCTGTTACCAGGGCGGCCTTCTGCCCCTGTGTGCTGTGTTCTTGCAGCCGCTGACCAGTTTGGCATGCACGTGTTGGTCCCCCCACATTTTCACATTCCTGTATCTCTAGAGGTTGGTTTGTATTACGCTGGGTGGATTTGAGAACTTGTTTCTTTCGTGGTGGGGGAGAGGGAGCTTTTACTGTTGAAATTGATGTTCGTGTCACGAGCTTATAGCTCTGCATCCATCTCGCAGCTTTATGATGTCCCACAGCCAGTGGAGTTCTGCACGTGGACATGACCTCTGCTATTTGACTCTTTTCAAGGTACCGGAAACTGGCACTCAAGTGGCATCCTGATAAGAACCCCGAGAATAAAGAAGAAGCAGAGAGAAAATTCAAACAAGTAGCTGAGGCCTATGAGGTGTTATCAGATGGTGAGTTGACCTGCCCAGAGCTCGGGCTCTCTCTGGGGCCAGTGGAGCATGGGTGTGGCCGGCTGAGGTTTTGGGCACCGAGAAGAGAAGTTTCTTATTTTTCTTGTGAAGCTTTGAGTCCTATTCCTGGCACATACTTGAGAGTTAACTTGTGCTGTGGAGCACGCTGGCTTCTAGCAGTTCTTTCAGGATGGCTATTTTATTTTATTTATTTTTAAAGATTTTATTTATTTGACAGAGACAGAGCGAGAGAGGGAACACAAGCAGGGGGAGTGGGAGAGGGAGAAGCAGGCTTCCCGCGGAGCAGGGAACCCGATGCAGGACTTGATCCCAGGACCTCGGGATCATGACCTGAGCTGAAGGCAGACGCTTAACGACTGAGCCACCTAGGTGCCCCGGGAGGAGAGAATCTTAAGCAGACTCTCATGACCTGAGCTGAAATCAAAAGTTGGACGCTTAACCGACTGAGCCACCCAGGAGCCCCTGGGATGGCTATTTTATTTGATTTTATTTTATTATTTTTTAAAGATTTTATTTATTTCACAGAGAGACACAGCGAGAGAGGGAACACAAGCAGGGGGAGTGGGAGAGGGAGAAGCAGGCTTCCCGCGGAGCAGGGAGCCCGATGCGGGGCTCGATCCCAGGACCCTGGGATCATGACCTGAGCCGAAGGCAGACGCTTAACGACTGAGCCACCCAGGCGCCCCAGGGATGACTATTTTAAATAGGACTGACAGCCTGGTCTGAGGCCTGACAGGACAGCTGAGGGCGTAGGAACCCATCTGGGTCATTGTATGGTAGCAGTGGCCACAATCTGTTGGTGGTGCAGTGGTCTCTCATCCCCATTCTGCTTGAGCACACTTGGCTAGCATATTGATGTTTCACTGCGTGGAAGGACTTCCTTAGTTTCTGGGACTGTCCAACAGAGCTTTAGACTTCCAGACTTTGAGGTGTGCGTTCCCCGCCCCAGTTCTGGAGCCATAGGTGGAGCCATAGGTGTTGGAAAGTATGGGCTTTTTGAAAGTCTCACCCATTAGCCTGGTTTCATGAATCAAGCAGAGAGTGAGCTGCTAGCCAGATTCAGTCAGCAGGTTCTTGGTGAAGAAGAGTGTGGTGTGGGTCCTGGGCTTGGGAGAGCAGTGTGGAGCTTTGTTAGGAGACTGGAAATCTGCTGACACCGCCTCGCCAGGAAGCAGCATCGAATGACCTGCTGTGAGTCAAGGCAGAGGTACCCAGGATAGAGTAGGACTCACTGGCTGCAGGGCATGCGTGCTCGCTTCAGGTGTGTCCACGTGTGGTCAGGGTCACTAGTGAAAGGCTTTTCTTTCTTTTTTTTTTTTTAAGAGAGACGTAGTGACAGAGATAGAATTCAGGCGGGGAGCAGAGGGAGAAGCAGGCTCCCGCGGAGCAGGGAGCCCGATGCGGGGCCCGATCCCAGGACCCCGGGACCATGACTGAGCCGCCCGGGCGCCCCGTGAAAGGCATTTTAGAGAGAACTCCATGTAACCATCACTCCCCTTCCACTGCTAACAATAGGTTGAGCATTCTTGTTTTATCTGTTAATGTATCTCTTTTACTTTAAAGGAAATCCCAGATGTTTTATTTCACTAGTAACTTGTTACTAGAAAACACATAAACACTGATAATTGCAGTCTTTTTCAAATGTGGCATTTAAGGTCTTAACCTGATAGCGGGTTCTGTCTTTTTTTTTTTTTTTTTTTAAGATTTTAGTCGTCTGAGAGAGCCCGAGAGCAGGGGTGGGGGAGGGGGAGAAGCAGTCTCCCCGCTGAACAGGGAGCGGGACTCCATCCCTGGACCCCGAGACTACAACCTGAGCTGAAGGCAGACGCTTCACCAACTGAGCCACCTAGGCGCCCCTGGTAGCGGTTTTCTGAACTGGACCGACAGCACCGTGGGACCTCAGTGTCATTATCTTGTTTGGTCCTTGTTTGTGCTGATCCAGCACTTCCGGATTTGTGGATTCACAGACCAGGAACATTAGAAAAATTGAGGACTAAACCCAAACTGGTTTTTTTATTTTAGTCAAGTGATTTAAAAAAAAAAAAAAAAAAAATTTCAGCTCAAAGTTGATTTTTGTCAGGAAGAGAACCTTTAAATCCTCGTAGAGACGCTGTTGTTTCTCATCTCTTCCCCTTTTCTGAGGGAGAGTGTTTTTCATGTTCTCTTACGCGGCCTCCAGCCCAGAAGTTACCTTTGCAGGTGTCGTTACCATTGTTCCCCGAGCTCTGGTAGTAGAAATGGACTGGCTCTCAGTGGTTTGCTTGTGCACATTTCCCTATAACCTGTTATTTTACCTCACAGTTGGGTAAGAGCTGATACTTTGGGGAAAAACATGTGGTGTCAAAAGAAGGTGCCTGTCCACCCAGGGCTGTGGGATAGTTGTTTGCTCTAGAAGGGTAAGTAGAGGGAGGACAGAGCATAGCAGAGCGTTGTCGGGCTCGGTTGGGCTGGTGCTCTTCCAAGGGCGTTAAGCCTGTGGGGTCAGCTGGCTCCTCGTCTGGCTTCAGGACGTCGATTTCCCGCCCCACCGGGTCCCCGTCCTCCTCGCTCTGTGCCTCGGATCCGCCCCCGTCGTTGGGCCTGGGGGTAAGAAGGTGCACATCGGGAATTGGAGTAGCTGTAGAACTGATTTTATGTTTGCGTGAGCCACATGCTCTGTGTGCAGTAGGCTGAAAGAAATACTTGAGTATTTAAACTGCCTACTACTTAAAAATTTTTCCGAGTTTTTATGGAGATGTACTTGGATTTTCCCTCTTCCCCGTTTTTATTTAAGGGAGGCCATACCCTTTTAAAAGTAACTGAAACCTTGGGCGCCTGGGTGGCTCAGATGGTTAAGCGTTTGCCTTCGGCTCAGGTCATGATCCCAGGGTCCTGGGATCGAGTCCCGCATCGGGCTCCCTGCTCAGCGGGGAGCCTGCTTCTCCCTCTGCTTCTCTCTCTCTCTCTCCGTCTCTCATGAATAAATAAATAAAATCTTTAAAAAAAAAAAAGTAACT